AAATAAAATAAATAAAGATAATCTTAAATAGCCAATCCAAGGAAAGTTGTTTTTTGGGCTATTTTTACAGGAATATTTTTTTATTCATCAGTTCTGTGCTGGAGGCTTTTCTTTAGAGAGGGGATTCTGAAAGTTTAGGGAAACAGTTGTATTGGTGTTTATGATGAGTTTATTTTCCTGGAATAATTTTGCTTGTGCCCCTAGGACTGTTTGTGCTTATTTTTGTAGAGTTTGTTGGGTATTTGCTTTAATAATAATATCTACGTCATCTGCAAATATGACCATTTTGCTCTTTTGTAGGGTCCGGGGCATCTCATTGACGTGTAATAGAATTAGTATGGGGCCTAGGATTGATCCTTGTGGTAATGGTGGTTAATGCATAAAGTTGCGTTTATATTTCAAGCAATTTAAGTATGAATAAGTGCAGCTACAAGTCATACTTTATCGCATTATTTGTAACTTTTATGTTTTCGAAAATTCAGAGTTCAACCAAAGGCGTCGCTATGTTTTGAGCTCCACGGTGCAGAGGATTGATTGATTTATTGATCGATTGTTATTGATTTCGGGCATGTCAACTAATAAGATCGTTAGTACCGTAAGTGTAGTGCATGTTTGTTCCTCTAGAGGTAGTTGTGATTCCCACTCTCAGCTGTATGGCGAGATCCGGCGCTGACCTACCTACCCGTCGGCTGGTGATGTTTTCCCCTGCTAGGTATGTCCCACCGAAGGGGCACTGCCCCAGTCGGGACAAGCTCTAAGCTCTCGACCGGTCTCTCGGCATGTGTGGTAGTGTAGTATGTTTGTGTGTAAGGCGGGAGGATTGGACAAGAAAGAGGCAGGAAAGATCGCGCTCGGTCCGTGGCCAGTTTGTTAGGATACTGCTCTGGCATTCGCCTGGTGTTGCTTGGAGAAACCATGGAAAACTTCCGATCAGAGCAGCCAACTACTAGAATTCTCCTCCAGACAGCGACTGAATTCGACCTAGCTGACAAGCTAGTGTCGTAAAACCTGCCACTGTCGGGACTCGAACATAGGCCGTTGCAGAGGACTCAAATGGAGACTCCATCATTGCATTTGCCATTTTGTTGAGAGTTGGCAGGAAATGGCGGCTCTTCTTGAGGGTTCTAGAGCGGTGTCCTCTCCAGAAAATAAGAGGAAAGAGAAGAAGAACAAGAAGAAGAAGAAGAAGAACAAGAACAAGAACAAGAACAAGAACAACAACAACAACAACAACTACAAAAAGAAGAAGAACAACAAGAACAACAACAACAAGAACAAGAAGAAGAACAACAAGAAGAAGAAAATCGGGTTAAGTAGCAGAAAGTATTAAATTTGCAATAAATTGACTCGTTTTATTTTTCAATAATTCCAGCGCATTTTGAGTTGTTTTTTTTCACTTTTATATGCCCGCTTAAGCGAAAAATAAATGTTTTTAGAATGGATCGCATCGTGTACTAGTGCGAGTCCATCCGTGGCTGGTGCATGCGAAGCAATGGAAGCTTGAAGAAGGATGGAGCAGGGTGCTAATCGAGTTTTGTTCGGCAAAGAACGCGCCTGTTAACTACGCTAAGAATGCCGACCCTTTCGTCTAATTTACTATTTTGTTAGCTGGGAATATTTAAAAAAAAAAATTACCCTGGAGTGAGCACAACTGTAATCTTCCGTTATCAACGTTAAAGTTGTCTTAGAAAAGGATTAAAATCCCAAAGCGTGCAAATCGGTTGTACACCACGTGCACCACGTTCAAGAAATATTTTGCAGAGGTGAAATGTATGTGATAGTTCTGATACATATGCCGCCCCTCCTAACTGAGGGTGTATGTCACTGGTCGCCACTGTTGGTGGGTGTCCTTTTTCGGACCCTTGGCTTCGGAGGCCTCGGCGCCGCACATCGGTTTCACCAGCCCAGCTGCACTCCTCAGTTCAACGAAAATGGAACCTACGCCATTTTAGAAGAGTACTTTGCTCTATTCGAGAAAAAAATGAGAGCAGTTTTTCTTAATTTTTCAATAATTTTTTTAAACAAAAAATACATGAAAACATTCTAATATTTCAGAAAAATTGTACATTACCAAATTTAAAGATCTATCTTTGAGGAACTGATTTTACTAAGGAAAAAAATCGATATCTTTTATACTGTAGATGTAGGAAGACTCTGATAAAATGTGAACTTTTAAAAAAGACCGGACTTGAAAGATTTATGGGCTCTGATGGCATTGACATTTCGTTAATCCCTATAAAACTCCCATTGCTCCCTGGAGACGGCATTGCTGCGCGCTCGATCGTACCTGGACGAGGGGCGGTTGCGGTGGCGGTGGGGCGCTGGGCGGTGGGGCGCTGGGCGGCGGGGCGCTGGGCGGCGGGGGCGGCTGCTCGCACACGAAGGGTTTGCGGTGGTGGCAGGCGACGTCGTGCCAGCGAACGCCGTCGCCGTGCAGGTTGTTGAGCAGCGCCAGGCATGCTTCCTCCGGCCCGCCCTGCGCGCCCTCACGGTCGTCGGGCTGCGGTCGGCCCAGGCTGCACACGACAGGTTAACAAGCGGGTTGGGTTTGGGCAGCGGAGCATCTACACGCACCCGCCCACCAAACAATTTTAATATGGAGCTTTGCCTTTCTTATAACAGTAATGCATTACGATGGCCGTAAAAAAATTAAAGGTAATAATTTCAAAAGCTTCCTTGAATATAAAAAATAATAGTGGCATGCAACATAAACCTCAATGATAGTGAAATAATGTGCTTCTCGCGATTTGTGTCAAAATATATTAATGGAAAAAACAACTTTATCATCAGAAATAATAATTTTGCTTGCCTTTTATTTTCATTAAATATTTTAGAAATGTTATCTAAATGATGACCCATTGGTTTGAAGTTATCACTTTAAATATTTCCATTAACTTTCATCAATTAATTTTTTTAAATAGCTTTTTTCGACCAAATTTGTGCTTAAGAATTTCTTATGAAGTTTCTCTAAATTCTAAACCTCTAAATTTGTCTGTGAAATGAATCTCAAAATTGCGGATTTTCAGAAATGATCCAATGCAATTTTCTCTAAACCGACTCTAACTTTTTTAATTCATTTTTTGTACGGACGGTGCTAAAAATGCACCAAGTAAAAAAGAGCATCAAATAATACGACATAAACACATTTTTGATATATTTATTTAATTTTCCAAAACTTATAGAACTGTATTTTTAAAAATATTTCTCTCGTCGTTAATGTTTACGGGTGTTTTTACACTTTATAGCATTTGGGTGTAAGGGCTTTAAATTTCTTATGAACTTTTTGAAAACCTTAAAAGTTTTATGTGAATATGAGCTAAAAATTACGCATTTTCAGAAACGCTCCTCCAATTTTTTAAAATATTTTTTGTGAGGATAGTGCTAAATCTTTTAAATAATACATCATAATTTCCACTTCGATGTTTTTCCGTTGTTTTTTGAAATAGACAATGTATTTTTTAAATATATTTTACGTCGTCGATATTTATACTACGGACACTTCATTTGCATTGCCGCATTTGTGACTACAATGGCCTCAAATAATTTCATATGGAGCTTCTCAGACGTTGGAAAGTTTTAGGCGAAAATCAGTTTAAAATAAAAAAATCTTTTTTTTAAAAAAAACTGCTCCATATTTCCAAATGGAAATGTATATATAGCGCCAGGTTTTACCCTTTCTATTACATTGTTAAAGTGATATTTGAATTCAACTACTAGAGAAGCGGGGAAAATTGAGAAAACATTAAAAAATGTCTTTTAGGCTCCAAAAGTAGTTGGGTAAAAATAATCATCAAAATGCACGTTTTTCGGATATACTCTAACGACATTTTCTCAAAAACGGCAAAAAATTATTTTCAACATCAAGATGTATATAGGACCAGATTTTACACTTATATAATATTATTCATACTTCAATATCAAGTCAATTTTATTTTTATCATTAAGGAAGCGAAAAATTGAGAAAATATGAAAAAAATAAATGTTTTTTCGCCAATAAATGTCAGCAATGGCAAGTGGCAATAGATGGCAACCGAGAAGAGGGTGGGGCAAACCGAAAAGATCGCACAGACTTAAGAGGCTGGGAAACTAGTACGAGAAAGTCTGTGCCATTATATAACATCACTTGCTAATAGATAAGGTGACCCGCTGAAGATATTCCTTTTGAATATCTCTTGAACCGTCACAGATATTGAGATGCGGTTTTCACTATAACGAACGTATGCGATGAGCACAAAAGATGATATATATTGTATTTACCCATATCAGTCTATCTCTAAGCTGGATGGTACAATATTGTATAATGTATCTTTATTAGTCACTGCTTTTCATTTTCTAAGGAGCTTTGACGTTTAATTCACTGAGCTCCTTGTAAACCTCATTTCTGGACACCATTAAGAGGTCAGTTTTAGTGTAATATAATTTATTTTAATAAATGTTGGGTCCGACAATCTGGCTGCCTATCCGTCTGACTGTTCTTCTGTTCGACAGTCTGTGGAACTGTCTACAGTTCGTCTGTCTCTCCGTCCGTCCGTCGGTCCATCCGTCGGTCCATCCGTCGGCACATTCTGTCCGTCGGTCTGTCTGTCTGTTCGGTCTTTCTGTCTGTCGCGTTCTGTCTGTCCGTCGGTCTGTCTGTCCTCGGTCTGTCTGTCCGCGGTCTGTCTGCGTCGTCTGTCTTCGCGTCTGTTTGTTCCGTCGGTGCTGTACTGTCCTGTCGTCTGTCTTTCGTCCGGTCTGGTCTGTCCGTCGGTCGGTCTGTCCGTCCGTCTGTCTGTCCGTCGCGTCTGTCTGCTCCGTCGGTTCTGTCTGTCCGTCGGCTGTCTGTCGTCTGTCTGTCTGTCCGTCGGTCTGTCTGTCCCGTCGCGTCTGGCTGTCCGTCGGTTCTGTCTTGTCCGTCGGTCTGTCTGTCCGGTCGGTCTGTCTGTCGTCGTCTGTCTGTCCGTCGGTCTGTCTGTCCGTCGGCTGTCTGTCCGTCCGGTCTGTCTGTCCGTCGGTCTGTCTGTCCGTCGGTCTGTCTGCTCCGTCCGGTCTGTCTGTCCGTCGGTCTGTCGTCCGTCGTCTGTCTGTCCGTCGGTCTGTTCTTCCGTCGCGTCTGTTGTTCCGTCGGGTCTGTCTGTCCGTCGGTCTGTCTGTCCGTCGGGTCTGTCTGTCCGTCGGTCTGTCTGTCCGTCGGTCTTGCTGATCCGTCGGTCTGTCTGTCCGTTCTTGCCTGTTTGTCCGTCTGCCTGCAACTGTCTGTCCGTCTGTCTCACCGTCTGTGGTCAACGCTAGTGCATAAACCCATTAGACAATTTCTTCCAAAATTGTTATTTTGCCATCGATCTGAACGAACTGGGGTCTCTCCCGAGTTTGAAACCAAAATTTAGTTGTGATACATGTTTAAACTATTCGCAAAAATGTCTCCAAATTATTTGCTTACTTTTTTACTCGGATAGAGCAAATGATGCTTAAAAATCGGTGAAAGCCTAATTAGTTGAACTCTTCTAATGATCAAAAATTGAAAAAGTTAATTTTTTCAGCTTCTTACTTACAATTTTAATATAGCTATTTTTTTCCTTAAGGAAATCAGTTGTTCAAAGATATATCTTGAAATAAGGCAATTTACAATTTAAAAAAATATATAGTTTTCGCGTTATTTTCCATGGAATGTAGGCAATCTTTTAACATTTATTTTCTCAAAAAAGGCTCCAAATGTTTGCTTATTTTGTTCCTCTGAGAGAGCAAAGGACACCAAAAATACCGCAGGTTTTATTTTCGTTGAACCCTCTGAATTTTAAAACTTGAATTTTTAAAAATTGCACAAGTTAGATATAAAGCGAGAAAGTATGCGTTGTTATAGCCACATTTTTTTTAAACTTGACGATAAATGTTAGGTTAACTTTAGTAAACAACCTAGTATAAATGTTCATTTAATACAGTTTTGTTTTGATTTACAATGTACATGAATGCTAGAAAAACTAAAGATATTAATGGTTTATCTTCAAAGAGATGTTCTTTCTTTTGATTCTCTAGATAGTAAACATAGCTTCCCTCTCCCCCAATCACATAGTTCTTGTTTTGCGAATGTCAAATAAGTATAGAGTAATGTCTCATTCATAGTCCTTGGGAACCCATATACTTTATGACCCGTTTAGAAACTCATTTCCTTATGTTCTGTGAGTCATTCAGACTTCCTTTTAGTGTTCACTAATTTTGCTTCGAGAGTGAGTCACCTGTTTTGAGGCAAGCGACTATTTTAAAATGGAAATCATCTTTCGACCTTGACTCTTACATTCTCCACGCAGGTTCTTGTGGTATGTTTTCCTAATTGTCCTGAAGAGGTCGCAGATGTGCAACAGAATCTATTTAAGTACAGTTTATATAGAGACAATTTTATGTTTAATATCAAGTTAAAATTTGTGAAACGAAATGATACAATTATAGTTTGTATGTGTCTTATTACACATTTTAAAACATTGTATAATTATGTTGATACTAGCGTACCCGTGCGAGAACTCTTGCATGTTCTTACGTACACTCTTGGAAACATTAAGTTTCGCGTCGAAAATGCCTTGGCCCGAGAGGTTGTTGCGCTGGACACCCCTGCTTGCTGACAGCACTATCTAATATTTAATCTTCATAGTTCGATCTACAGAGCATAGTTTCGAAAATAAATATTAGATAGTGCTGTGCTAATTTATTTTATTGGAGAGTGTATAAAATACTTTAACGTCCATTGAAAGCTAAAAAGAACTTCCAACAAAACACCCAGAAGTCAGTAAACAAAAAATAAATATCCATCTGGTTGAGATGAATTTCCGGATTTTTTATTGAAAACTTGTGTAGCTGCCTTTATACACCCATTAAACTCACATTTTCAATGCTTCTTTATCCACAGGAATATTTCCAGATATTTTCAAATATGGGGTCCCACAAGATTCTATCTTAGGTCCTATCCTCTTTCTGTGCAAGAAAATAAAATGTTCAAAACGTGTGCCTAGAGTAGAGCACCACTTGTAAAATACTATGGTTTCTGCAGCGTTCGTTCTATAACAAATATTCAGTGACAGTTTCCTTACTACTCCTCTTCAGTGAGAGGATCTCATTTTAGAACTCTTGTATTGCAAATGCGCCGCACGTGGGTCTAGGAGAATTCTCATAGCACTTTTTACCAGCGGACAACAGGAGAGTTTCATCGTTAACATATGAGCAGGAATGTTCCTGTATCGGGCCATACATTATGCCGTCCCGCATCAAAGCCCCCACATACCTCACGTTTCTGCAGGAAACGATGCCCACTCTCCTTGAAGATGTCCCACTTGCTGTGTGACGCATTGTGTCTAGCGGGGGGGGGACATGTGTGACACACACGGCGGCCGTGTCATTAGAAGATGCGGTCCCGTTATTAAGTTTTGTGGTCACCTGGTTCGATAGCTCTAAATTTTTCCATAAGGCAAATGAATTTTCGTGTATCTTCACCAACAGGGGCGAAAGAGAAATATCTGGTTATTTCAATCGCAA